GGCTGATTCTGCTGATTTAAGAAAAAAATATTTTAAAAATATATTTTATTAATAAATTAAAGAAAAAATTATATGTAAAAATAGCTAAAATGGTCCTCTACAGTAACTTCAGCCAATACAGCCAGAAAAGTAACTCCAACCTTACTTTTTCGGCTTATTACACAATTCAGTGCGCGAAAGTAAAAGTTACGTGTTTGGTGAAAAAGCTGACTGATAAGCCTGATAAGCCGAAAACAGAGTTCTCCAAACGGGCTCTTAATATTATTCAGTAATATCAATAACTACGGAGTAATTAATAAGAAGAATTAGTTTTGTCAAAAAAAACGAAGAATTAGTGGACAATAAGCATTTTAAAGAGAAGGTAGATAAAATTGCATGAAATTGTGATCGAAATCCCACATATGACACCTAACTGCAGGCTTTCCCCACCGCATATTTCAGACTAAACAATACAGGCTTTGCAACTCCCATTTGAGGCTTGTCTATTTACTTTCCTAAAAAGCTTCTTAATTTGTTGTAGGCTTTGAGCCAACATCAAAATAAATTACTAACTAGTTTTTTAAATAAACAAATTACTAGTTTAGACGTAAGTATCGATCGTTTTAGGCTTTGAGCCAAATTATTAGTCTCCATGTACTGTACACCGCACACTTGTCAATGTTAAACAAATCATCTATTTAATTAATTAATGTCAACATAAATTGAATATAAATTTGTTTTAAGTAATGATAAAATCATTTTAAGTTTACCTAACAGTCAATATAATTAAAATTGTGAACGTAAATTTGAAATATATAATGATATCACTATTTGAACATTTGTTTACCAGCCATTCGTCTCATTATATTTTCTTCATTTATTTATTATTTAAAAACAAGATTTAATAATGTTTCGCAAATACATCCGTTTGAAATCATTTGCATTTCAAATCAACTCAATTAGTTATACGAATTATTGAAAATTTACACACAAAAAATGAGTCCCGCTTGGGTACCCCAATTTGTACCCCAATCTGTACACTATCTGTGTACACAGACACACTGTCTGTGTACACAGACATTTGGACAGAAAGTCATGCTCTCTTTCAAATGAATTGTCTGTGTACACAGGCAATTCGGGGGGGGTGGGTACAAAATGGGGTACATTTTGGGGTACCTATAGAATTTTTGCAAAATAATACTCCGTCTCCGATCCGTATATTTACGCGCATGTACAGCTTTCCACAAACAACATATACATGCTACGCAATGGTGGACCCAGAGATTTGTGAGAGCGGGGCACACTAGACACCAAAGTTAGTCTATAATAAAAACTCCTTATGTAATAAAAATGGTAAAAAAAATGTATTAAATTATACAGAATAGTTAATTACATATTAAATAGCCTACGAGTTTTCATATTTTGAAAATGTTGCATAATAGTTTCATTATTGATGCTTCTAGAAACATCTCTCTCGATGTTGTCCAAGCAATCCGTAAGATAGTCACCTCCCATCTTATTGCGAAGATTTGTCTTTGATAATATTCATCGCAGAGAACACTCTTTCAACGGCGGCCGTTGCAACTGGTAACACTAAAGCCAACTCAATCAGACAATATACCAAGTGAAAAGAATTGTGAACTTTAAGCTCAACCATGTTCTTACAAACTTCACCAATATTTTTTGTACGGCAGAAAATACCTCATTTGTTCTCATTTCATACATCCACACCTTGAGTTGCTCTTTGAGCTCCATTCGATCAACAAATGAAAAATCGCATAAATATAACTCCGCAAGGTTGAGTAGCTTTGACTCACAGAAATTGGAAAACTTCGGCTTTTATCATTCTAGTTTTCCAAATGTTATTGGGTTTTTAGACTTTTTAATACTCCGTACTTTTAGTTGCCCGCACATTGGCTACTTTTTTACATTTTAACTTTTTTTTGTTACTTTTTGTTTTCAATTAATAATTATTTTTTTGTTTTTATGATAATTCTATATATTTTATTTTAATTCAACTAAAATTTATTTATTTTATTAATTTTTTATTTATATAACCGTAACATTTTAGTATCTTAATGATCAGATACTGGTATGAAGCCGGGGCACTCGGTTTTATTTTAAGTACTACTAGTGAAATTCCGGGCTCGAAGCGGGGGCACGTGCCCCACCTAGCCCCTCTTAGGTCCTCCACTGATACTACGTATACTTCACCTTTTTGTTGTGTAATATACTGGTTATAAGTTCCAGACTATATTAGCAATGAAATAAGTTCAAAAATATTACGTAGTATAAGAACACATTGCAGCTAGCGGAATTGATATTATTGTACTTTACCCCCCATTTGAGAATCATCAATGTGTGCAACCCGTTTAGTCATGGGCGTACTTAGGGAAGGGCCGAAATAGGTCTCACCTCATCCCAAATTTCAATTTTGTTTAAATTATCAAGGTAAAAACGTAACAATAAGGTAAAATATTTTCTTAAAATATGCATTTTGACTTTGCACTTCCATTCTTTCATATTTAATTTTTTATTGTGCATGTGCACACGTACATTAATGACTATGAAAATGAGATCCAAAGTTCAATACAGCTCAAAAAGTGGAATGCAAAGTTAAATTCCCAAAGAATATAAATCTAAATAAGACAAATCTATATACTTCCTCCGTATTTAAAAGTTCCATACACTTTCCTTTTTGGGATGTATTTAAAAGTTTCATACGCTTTTCCTTTTTGGTAAGTTTTTCCTTTAAAAATACTGAATTATCCTTACTTTTTCTACTTTTTATCATGTTTTTCCTACTTTTTCACCTTCTCTCCTATTTTTCCTATACTATTCATTACCCCACCCCTACTATTCTCTATTAAAACTTGTGTCATAACCTTATGTATGGTTCTTTTAAATACGGAGGGAATATATACTATGTATAGATGTATGTATGTGTATATATATATATATAGACAACTTTTCATGTTCAGCCGGCCTGACAGGAACCGCTGTCCGGACGAGGGAATTTCGGGCACTTCCCGGTGGAATTTTTTGATGAAATTTTTTGAGCATGTTCTTCATGAAGTCTAGTTTATCCATACCAAATTTCAGCTAAACATTCAATCGGGAAGGCACTCAAATAATTTCTTGAAGTTAATTGGGCAGTTCATACATATAAACTGCGCAATTAACTTCAACAAAATATTTGACTGCCTTCCCGATTGAATTTTTAGCTAAAATTTGGTATGGATAAACTAGACTTCATGAAGAACATGCTCAAATATTTCATCAAAAAATTCCACCAGGAAGTGCCCGAAATGCCCTCGGCCGGACGGCGGCTCCTGTCAGGCCGGCTGGACAGGAAGACTACTCTCTCTCTCTCTCTCTCTCTCTCTCTCTATATATATATATATATAGAGAGAGAGAGAGAGTAATCTTCCGGTCAAGAATTTCCTGACCAGAGTGCCGTCCGGCCTCCTCCATTTGGGGGCCTTCCCGGTGGTATTTTTTGCTCAATTTTTTTTTGTATGTTCCTCATCAAGTCTAGTTCATCCATACCAAATTTCAGCAAAAAAAAATCAATCGGGAAGGTCGTCAAATGATTTTTGCAAGTTAACTGGTCCGAAAAATACATATTCATATGATCATCAATTTGGGACGAAGGGAGTCCATTAAAAGTTATTGAAAATTCATATTTTGAAGAGATGATCACTTGAGTATCGTATTTTTTTTTCATACGGAGTATTTTATTTAGTATATCTACAAATAAAATTGGTGAAAAATAAAAAATACATTAAGAACATAACAGTCAAAGACTCAAAGGGTTGTGACTATTAATGGACTAACATATACGGAGCATAAAGGATTGGTATAGTAATGGGTCTTATTTTCAACAAAAAACAAATTACGCCCCTTTAGAGAAATTTAATGGTAGTTTCTATGGTACCCATAAGGTACCGTACCTTTCTCCACATGGACCAATCAGAATCATACTGTTGAATTATTTAAATCTAAATTAAAATGGATTTAATGCTTTGGACCAATCAAATGCATGGTAAGTATGGTACCCCATAGTTTAAATGGGTACCGGAGTTGTCACCAAATTTAATATATGACAATATATTTTATTCTTATTTATAATAATCTTATTTGTATTATATTGTATATTGAGGTTCAGAGTATCGCATATTTTTGTGATTAAATAACAGTTGCATATTAACGTTCAAAGTGATGCATTTAAGAAAAGTTTGGTTTTATAATAATATGTTTGTAGATACAATTTTTTATCTTTTTTCGGTTCCCATGAACCTCATTATAGCCGCCGCCTCGGGGTCGACTGCCACCACATTTACGGTAGTCTCCGATCCTTTGAAGATCGATGAGCGCGGCTAGTATGGCGCAGATCACCTCCTTCGCGTCGCTGAACACAGTGCTTGCTTCCAGCGTGCCGTTGAGTTCGCCGTCTGCTGCTGCCTATGTCCGCGCAGCCCACCTTCTATGCGTCGCTGACCACGGTGCTTGCTTCAAGCGCGCTGTTGAGTTCGCCGCTTGCTGCTGCAGACATATATTCTCATGGAGATTTTATTGTCAAAGATGTGTCTTCTAATCTTCCGCTCACAGATATATTTACTAAGAGTTTTTTTTTAGTTTGCAATTTCATTTTTTTAAAAGACAACATGCGCGTTGTATCTCCCGCACAGTTTGAGGGGGTGTAATAGGCTAATATAATTAGGAATCTACCTAATAGATATTTAGGAATCTGCCTAATATCTATTTAGGAATATTTTGTATTTTGGCAACTTTTCTATTATAAATATATCTGTCACGACTCCTATTGGAGTACCCATTTTCCATTATTTCACAACCATGTGATTCCAGCTTTTAGATCAGTTCAACGAATTACCAAAATGAGTTTCTAGTTTAATTTGTAAATTAGGATGAGTTTGTATCAATAAATCCCGTATCTTCGTATATCAAATTTTCTCCTATATATATTTGCATCAATGCATGAGTCTTTCATACAGGAATTAAGCTAAGCTAAGCTACAATAATAAACAAACAAACTAAGTACGATAGTACTTGACAGAATTTAATTTATGATCATGAAGACCGTCATTAATCTATGGGTCAACTTAATGCTTTCATTTGCCTTCGTATCTGCATGCATATTGAAATGTTCCGCCGCCGGCGACCGTTTCGGCGATTTCCGGCAATGCCTGATCAGAACAAACAATTCATTCGCAAGTGGAGTCTACGCCCCGACCAATTCATCGTTCTCTTCCATTCTGCAGTTCCCAATCGGGAACATGCGGTTCAACGACACCAGCATGCCGAAACCCGGCATCATCGTCACGCCGTCGGGAGCGGCGGAGATTCAGGCGGTCGTCGTTTGTGCGAGGAAAGTCAACTTGCACCTCCGTGTGCGGAGCGGCGGCCACGATTACGAAGGCCTTTCTTATACGTCGGGGTTCTATGATACTCCGTTTGTTCTGGTTGATGTCTCTCGCATGAGGAAAGTTTCGGTTGATGTCGAGAAAAAGACGGCGTGGGTTGAATCAGGTGACTGCCACTTTATTTCTCTGTTTTTTCTAAATATAGAGTTTAAATAAATGAGTGAAAAACTAAAATTTATTAAAAAGAGAAAATTCCTTATATACCTCAAAAATATAAATAAATTACATAAATACTCCCCGTCCCAATTTGTTTTGCAAAGTCAACATTTTTTGGTCAACCAATAATAAAAGTCAACTCTTCCTATGGATAATTAATTCAATTGTTAATAATTAAAATTTACATATTCAAAAACTACATTAGAATCTCTTCAAAGTTGCAAACTCAAAATTAGAAAATATTTAAAAATTGACATTCTAATTAAGTGAACAAAATGAGACTGTTTGACTAAGAAAAGTCAAATTTGCAACTCTTTTTAGGAGGGAGGTAGTAGGATCATCTTTTGTAAATATTATTCTCACTCCTAATTAAAGAAGTTGTATACTAATGATAGGATAAAATAAGTCTTTTTCTATATTTTGATTTTTTCATATAACTATGAATATATACTTTCGAAATTCTCAATTATATACGTAGTATGTAATATTTCCAAAAACAATTACATGTGTAATATCTTTATCAAATTTTCATACTTTATTTAGATGTGTGTGCGTCCACCTCCACTTTGAATTTTCAAAATTAATTTATAGTAATACATAATGTAATACTCCCATCGTCCAAGCTAAAGGTTTGCATTGTTATTTTAAAAAATAATTAACGGTCTTAAATGAAAACGTAATCATAAAAAATATTCACCTAAAAACAACAATTACCATCAATGACTTCATTATAATGAATGCATATATGTCAAAATTACTTTTCAAAATATATTCGAATTACACTATTTCATTATTATCGAAATAACTATGTCATTTTTGGAACGGGAACCTTAAATCGATATGGAGGTAGTATTTTATAGGAGCTCTAAAAGGATAAAACTCTATAGTATTTTTGAAATCTAAAGTATGTCCATAAAATTTCAGCTTAAATTAAAATTTAATCGGAAAAGTCAGTTAAATAAATCATTGAAAAACATTGCGCCAAAATGGATATTAAAAAACAATGTTTTTCAATATTTTAATGAAATTCTCGATTGAATTTTAAGTTGAAATATTGTGAACATAATGTAAACTTCATCAAAACATCCTCACCAAAAAATTTAAAAATTTCATCAACTAGACAAGGTCCAACGGCAGATCCGGTCAGAACTACCAAATGTGATCTTTTTACCGGCCTATTTAAAACCTTTTTTGTTTTCGTTTAATAATAGGAACCACACTCGGGGAACTCTACTACCACGTGGGTAATGCAAGTCGCAACCTTGGATTTCCCGGCGGCGTCTGTCCGACGGTCGGAACAGGGGGACACATAAGCGGCGGTGGATACGGGGCGATGATGAGAAAATACGGTCTAGCGGCAGATCACGTCATCGACGCCGTATTAGTCAACGCGAACGGAACCATTCTTGACCGAGAACTAATGGGTGAAGATCTTTTTTGGGCAATCCGAGGAGGAGGAGGTAACACATTCGGAATCATCGTTTCGTGGAAAGTAAGGTTAGTTTATGTTCCAAACAATGTCACAGTCTTAAAAGTGAACAGAGATTTGGGTCAAAACGCAACAAAACTTGTTCACAAGTGGCAATACATAGCTCCCAGAATGCCTCCAGAGCTGTTCCTTAGAGTCAGTTTTCTGCAAAAAACCATAGGAAATGATTCCAGAAACAGAACAGTGGAAGCCCATTTTGTGTCCACTTTCTTGGGAGGGGTTGAGAGTTTGATTTCCATTATGGATAAAAACTTCCCAGAACTGGGAGTGAAGAAGGAAGACTGCAAAGAGATGAGATGGGTAGAATCTGTCCTAGACTTTTATGACCTCCCAACTGAGACACCAAAACTACTGCTCAATAGAGTCCACAATGAGACAACAAGCTACAAAGCAAAAGCAGATTATGTGCAGAAGCCAATTCCAGAGGAAGGCCTTAAAGGGCTATGGGAATTGCTCTTAGAAGATGAAGCCCAGAATCTGTCAATGGACTTGAATCCATATGGAGGAAGAATGGATGAAATTTCAGAATCTGCATTACCATTCCCACACAGAGCTGGGAATTTATACAACATCCAATACTTGGTTTACTGGTCTGGTTCCAATCACAGCCGCTACATAGAATGGTCAAGGAGGGTTGAGGCTTTTCTGACACCCTATGTTTCAAACTCCCCAAGAGTTGCTTATGTTAACTGTAGAGATCTTGATGTTGGGATGAACACTAATGGCAGAAACACAAGCTATGAAGAAGCTGTGGTTTGGGGGGAAAAGTGTTTCAAAAACAATTTTGAGAAGTTGGTGCAAGTGAAGACTAAAGTTGATCCTACCAATTTTTTCAGGAATGAACAGAGTGTACCTCCCCTCAAGAATTAATACTTGACCTACTTTAATCTACACCTACATAGAAAAGAAGAACTTTTTAATGTGTCCTAAGTTCTTGGATCATTGTAAGTTTTTTAGTACCGCGTGACTGTAATAAAAAAGCTTTTTAATATTTTCTAAGTTTTTAAAATATATGTTGTAAATATGTAATGAACTAAATAAAGGGAGACATGTTATTTAGTATAGAATTTTTTTTTTGTTGGTGTGAGTTATCATGGTCCTACCACATTGTAGGAAAGTGAAGTTGCCTAGTCCAAGATTGAAATTTACTTTTATAATTCTCTATGTTACTCCTCTTGAAAATTCTAGTACATTGTCATATAATGTGAGGTTCATTGAAACTGTAAATTACGGGAACGGCTAAAAGAACGTCATTTACTATGTAGCACTTTTTTTCAATTTTCGTGTCTGAGAAAAGAACACGTATTTGATTTGGTTGAATTTGTCATTATAGTTCGGCATTCCGTGCATTAGTGAAGCATGCATGTGTCTTGTGTAAAATATCAATTCCAGTATATTTATGCACTTATAAATATTGGGAAAAATAATTAAAACACCCCAAACTTTGAAGGGGTGTGAGATAAATATCTCAAACTTGCATATATAATTTAAATACCTCAAATTTTATATAAAAAGTTATTTTAACATCAATTATTAACATTTTTTAAGAAATTAATACAAGATCATGGTGTTAAAATAACTTTTTATATAAAGTTTGGGGTATTTAAATTACATGTGCAAGTTTGGGATGCTAACCTCACACCCTTTCAAAGTTTGAGATATTTTAATTATTTTTCCCTATAAATATTTCATATTGTACCCTTACTTTTAGTCAGTGTTCTAAAAGGCGCCGAAAGGCGGCGCCAAGGCGTGCCTACGCGTGAAGCGGGAGTGAAACGCCCCGCACAGCAATTAGGCGCGACTAAAGGCGTAAAAATATTCCAGCCTCCAAATTTGACTCGCACAAGGCATGTCAAACTACGTAAGCCGACTACGAGAGTGAAGGAAGTAAAAGGGATTAATTTATAGGCGAATGTGAAGAGGAAATCTCCACTCCCCACCGGTGTGGGAAAACATCTTTGTCTGCGATACTGATGGGGAATAGAAGGGATTATTTTATATGGGCGAATGTGAAGAGGAAATCTCCACTCCTCACCGGTGTGGGAAAGCGTCTTTGCCCAGCTCCAGTGCTTCGTATGTAAGTATTATGTGCTCTATATTATATAATATTATTATATTATTGTTATTATATTATTATTATCATTACCAATATTCTTACCACTATCATTTATATTAGAGGTTTTATCTAAAGTATTACAAAGTACTGTAATAAAATTAATGGATAAAAAGTGTGACTTATTGTCTGTAAGTATATCTTTATGGTCACCAAATATAAAGTTAGGACTTAATTATTATCTCTAGAAGTCATTGAATCACATTTTTTGTCCAATATCCTTATTTCGGTCATATATTACGTAATATTTCTTTTTATTATTAATTATATTATCATTCAACGAGTTGTTCTTGTTCTGGTTTATGTGTAACTCGTAAATATATTTGCAAGATATAGGACTTGACAAATCTTTTTTGTTCAAAATTTGAATAGTATGATGTTTTTGAATAACATTACTTAACATTCAAATTAAATGTTTACAAATAGCTCTAGAAAAATCAAAATAAAGGATAAAAAATCAAAACGCCTTTTCACGCCTCAACCCCGCCTAATCCCGCCTAGGCTTCAAAGGCTTAAGGCTTGATCATGCCGCCTCGGCAGGGGCGGACCGTAGTATAGACTCAGGGGGGTTACCGCCCCTCCAACAATTTTATTTTTTAGTGTATATATACAAGAAAAATAAATTTCGCCCCCTCGGAAAATAAATTTCGCCCTCAAAAAATATTTTGAACCCCCCCAACATGAATTTTCTGGGTCCGCCCCTGCGCCTCGGCACGCCTTACGCCTTTTAGAACATTGCTTTTAGTAGTTTAGTGAAGCAAATGTGAAATTTAAATGAGATCATGAACCTCCTCTTGTAGAATGACAAATGACAAGTAATGTAGAACTTCTATTTGACTATGTCAAGCTGCAAACTTTATTGTTTGCCAGAAGAGCTACTAAAGTAACTTTATTTTTTAAAAAACACACGCTGATTTTGGAGAATTCTATGTGTAAACAATCAAAGTAAAAAACGTCATTCGATTATTCGAACATCTAACTTCACATGAAAAAAATGCAACTAAACTGATGATTGCTTATTGCCAAACAAGGCCAAAGACAGTCGTTCTCTAAGTTGGCATTACATGATGTTATGATAAATAACTTATTTATTGGATGCACAAATTAAATATAAAATAGTTTTTTTTAAGGTAACAATTAACTTTCATTCATAGAATCAATGTTGAGTACATGAAAAATAAAATGAGGATAATTATTCCAACAAATACAATCAGACAAAGATAAAGCAACTTTAGCTAATTCATGAGTCACCCTATTCTCTGATCGATTAATATGAGTAAAATAGATGTCGGTATAACCCAAATATAAAGTAGTTCAAAACATCAAATATTAACGAATCGACAAACTACTAAATAGAAATTTTCAATTCAGAAGAAAGATAAGTACATGATTCAATCATTTCTCTAGTCTTCTAGAATTTGTACTATTTGAAATTCCCTCTATACACATTGATTGAATTATGATTGGAATAAATTCCACTGTTGGTCCTATGAGAGTATCGCACCAATTCCACAATTGGTTCACATCTTTGACTTTGATCACTTTTGATACATGATTATTGTGTTTTTGCTCTCATATGGTTCTTCCGACAACTATTCCGGTGGTTAAAATCGCCGGAAAAGGACATCAAGTGGTCAAGAAACATTAATTAAGTACCAAAAGTGAACAAAATGGACTAGAGATGGAAATGACATAAAACTCGTAGGACCAAAAGTGGAATTAATTCTTATGATTGAACCGAGGGATGTGTAGCTTTCTAGTCCCGAAAAATTGAACTAATATGATTTTTAAAATTAAATCAACATAACGAATCCTTATATTAGATTTTTCGAAGAATACATTCATAATACAATACCACAACATTGAAATTAAAAGAAATGAAAGCAATTAATAAACTTCAAGCTATAAATTTTCACAAAGTGTTAACATACTGTTTTCGTAATACCTATTAGTCTATTATGATTAAATTACAAATGTCATATATGAAACCTAATTATTCACAACTATCATTAAGGTATTAATTTTATTACTGTCAAAAATATACATTTCAACCTCGTTTCCAATATGATTAAATTTCTAAATACTTTCATTGGAAGTACCATGATACCATCCCTGCCATTAGCTACAATTTTACAGTGTTGTGCTTATATACATTTTCATATGCTTTTGATACGTATTTATAAATTTGCACATAAATTACTTGTCCAGATGTTGGGCCAACTGAAGAAGCTTCTTCATAAAGATAACATGAAATTGATACCGATTGCAGACTGCGGAGAATATTTCAACAACGAATCCAAAACAAAGTTAAGGTCAAAATGATTATTCAGACATCAAAAGTTAATACCTCTACAGTCTACATGATTTGCAGCATCTTTAATTTGAAATATATAAAAAAACTCCCTTGCTCCAAATTTTCAGCCTTCATTCTCACTATATAATAATCTACAATGTTCATTTGCCCTACCTAATATCTTGAGCAATTTACCGAGTAATACAAGATCTCACCGCAGTAATTTTCGGTACAAAAAACATTATGCTGCAAGTATGCAACAATTGCCAAGACCAAAGCATATTCAGTACACAGCATAGATGTTTAGTCGCATTTAATGTTCTTGTAAATCCTCCTGACAAACAAATTTGAGCCCAAGTACCCGACTGCACCTATAATTTTTAAGAAATAAACCCCGAAAAGAGATGTCATAAATTTGATATATCAAAAACAAAGCAATAAAAGGGTGAAAATGACAACAATAAAATTAGGAACTTACCACAGAGTATTCCCAACCCAAGGCAGAACATCAAAGTGTATCCAAAATAAAAGCTGGTTTGGAAGAAGCCTGACATCTTGGTCTTTACATGATAATAGTATATAGAGTAGAGGTACACGTAAAGAGCAGTGGAAGCAGCAGAGAAAAATGAAGTCCAGTGCCAATGGTAGTTCTCAGCATTAAGCAAGAAATATGTTCCCACAATTGTCACACACACCGTGACGATGATCAAGATAATAAAAACCAGAAGCATGAAGCCGTATACATAATAAACCTGTTGAAACCGTCAAAAAAACAATGTGATAATGCTGGTTAATTAGGCTGGAAGTTTCAATCTTACCAGATAAATACTGTAAAAAAAACTCCTGGAAAAAAGAATGTTAATGTAAAGGTGACTAGTTTGCTTTGAAGTCATATTTTATGAAAGAATTTGATCATTTTAAGGGAAAAAATCTTGGAAATGGTGATACTTATCACTAAAAACAATGCAGTTATCACTACTATCGAGGATAATTTTAAAAACTACAAACACTATGTGTTTGTATCTGTTTTTTCACGTGCACATATTAGAAAAACTAAAAAATAATTAGTTTTCATGTGGCCGCACACCTATGAGAACTTAAGATCATGTGTGTGTATTTGAAAGAGCAAAGATATGAAACGAGAGAGAAAATACCTTGTAATTCCAAAAGGAAGTGAAGACAAAATACATCTCAATGAATATGCTTCCGAAGGGAAGAAGCCCTCCCATGAGAGAAATAATGGATGGCGTGAGATACCATTTCTTTTCAGGGATAGGACGCGGGATGGTCTTCACACGGCAAGGATTGTTAGGAGTGCCATTCCAATTTTTCCCAACAACAGTTCCAAGAAGGGCAAGGGGAAATGAAATAAATCCCCAAATGACAAAAACAACCACAATGGTACCAAAGGGAATGGCAGCTAAAGATCCATAAAATATTGCAACTGTGTTCAAGATAAACCCAATTCCAAAACACAAGAAAGGAAAAAGTGATGCTGTAAGAACCATTGACTTTATCCATGTTTTACCTGACAAGATCCATACAAGCACGCAGCAAAAAAAAAATCGTTCAATTTCGGTACTTAGAAACTAATAAAGGAACAGCCAGTAACATTAATTAAAGATCATAAAGACCATACCACCACTGCGGGAGTACATTCCACCACTCACATAACCCGAAATGAAGGATGTAAAAGCATAACATACAATAAAGGTGGTGATAATTGCACCCCTCCTGATTTACACATAACAATGCAGAAGACAGTATTAGACAAAATCACAAGCATTATAGCGCAAATAGTAGCCATATTAACAAATCCAATGCTACTACTTAGAAATGCATGTATAGATACAATATCAGTATATCACTATAAGATAAACACAACAATAGAGAGAAAATGGCAACTTCGGTCACCCATATATGGGAAATGGTGTATTTAGTACCTTAAGTATTCGTGTCACCCCTTTCAGTACTTTCATTTTCACAAAAGTTGTGTTTTCCCTCCCTCTTTCAATGAAAACTTAAGGTTTATGATAATTGTTGAAC